TTTTCTAAATCAATAAATATCAAATGTAGATCCTCCTTATTATCTCTGAACTTCTTCATCAAACCTCTCAATAAATGTATAGACCGGAGTTAACTCAAACCATAATAGAAAAAATAAATATGATTACTGAAACTCAAATGTGGAATTACAGACAACCAATCAGAATAGGAAATAACAACACCACGATACCAAAATAGAAAGTAACTGGCATGACATCAACACTCAATGAGGGTGGATCTGTAGTGGTGGTGGTTGGTGAGGATTTGAAAGGTGTCGTGGGGGTAGAAAAGACAGTCAAGAAGCAGAATACAACAAGTAAATGATTTCCATGGGGCCAGACAACGAATAGACAGTCAGAGGATGTTGCACGAGGGTTGGCCAGGTTGAGGGCAGAAATGGGGAAGGGCGGAGACAGTGGCGATGACAACAGGGACGCGGTTGAAAAATTGCCGACAGTGTGACAGCTGGTGCGGAAGGCTGCGAGGAAGGCTAGGAAGGGGAGAAAGTCGATTGGGAGGGCTGTGTGGGCTGCTGGGGAGGATGACGACGAGGTTGGCGACTGGCTGGAGGCGATAACAACACGTTGACAGCTGGAGAGAGCTGCCAAGGCGTAGTTTGGTGCCGGATAGACACTGCCTAAAGACAAGTTACAGTTGAAGCAAATTCTCACATTTATATACGAATCTCAAAGGGAAAAACTGGACATCGACAACCATACTGATAGAAATATGAGCAAAGAAATGCCCTAAAGCACAACAAACAACAACTATATAGACATAGGGTAAAGAAGAGTGGGCCCCGCTCCAAATAGAAGGGAGCACCATACTTGGAAGGATCGGTTGGTTCCTCCATTGCCGGAGCCAAACCAGACTCATGCCACTCGCGACATTCGTCACGACTGGGGCATGAACGACAACAGCGCCAATCTCCCCCGATTGGGTGAGATTGGGCTTCACATAGTATGGAGTCAAATGAAGCATGTTGCAAGTAGTAGAAATGTAGAAATCTCCAGGTATTTCAATCTTACATGCATTGTCTTTTCAAAGCACGTCCTAGTAAAATAAATATTCATCTTTTTTGGGCAAAAATTGAGTTGGAGCTATATGGGAATGGGTATCTCTATGAACTAAACCTCGAGTCATCAAATCTGTAATTGGCTTCCTCCACTCATTTTATTCATCCGAGTGTATCTGATAAACAAATACGTATGGAGCTTTCAACTATGGGAAGAAATATATGGTAGGCTGAGCAACTTTAATTAGCAATCACTCAAGAGATATTTCTTCTTCTTCTCTGGAAGGATGTGGAACCCACTATAGGATGTTCTCTCCTCTTAAGTTTCTAAGGCAATTTTCAACCCTGCGAGCCATCCCTCTTATCTGATCTTCTGTCAGTAGATACACTATTGAATTGATTGTACTACCCAAATAACCTCATATGGTTTTCTAGAAGTAGCTCGAGAGCATCTCTGGGGCAGCTCCGGAGGTTGGTTATATATTTGAAAATTCTGAAATCTTTTTATATAATATTGCTCTGTGTCTAGAATCAACCCCTCAAACTCATGAACATTTTGGACATTCAATGCCAGTCTTGTTGTTGCTACTATGAATGCCTGCATACATGTGGTTTGAGGCACCACAACATCATACTTTATATTAACATCTATTACCTCAGACTCATTGCCAAAAACATCCCTAAATCAGACTCATTACCTTCTAGGACCGCCAAGATTAATTCAGTCGGAGTATTATCTTGGCAACTTGAATTGTTTGCATTTCTTCCTCATTTGCTAAAAGTTGAGAATCTTTTATGAAATCTTCTTCCCCTCTTGGACCGTTGTGTATTATGCAATTTGATTCAGTATCCCCAAATTCATGGCATTTAAAACACTTCCTGGATGGGATGTTTTTGGGAATGCGGATTGATTCTCTCTGTTCTCCGCTCTAAACTAGTGTTTCCTCAAGCGGGTTGAGCTTGGATTTTTTTGTGTACTCTATTTGTTCAATCTTGGGATTGAACCTTGTCTATAAAATGTGATGGTGGCTTGGTGATGCGATCTCTCCATTTTTGAAGTTGTAGTTTGAACATTTGGTCCGCAGTGACCTGATAGGAACTAACGCTACATTTCTCACTACATCTTGGACCATGTAATAATTTTAATCTTACATTCTCGTTGCCGATGAACCTTTAAGTTCGCCCACAATTGAGATGCACTTTTCCTTAACTTGTTGTCGGTTAGTTTCATCATTCCATGTGGTGGAACGTTCTGGCACTCAAAAACACATTCCATGGTCTAGAGCCACTTGATGATTTCATCCGGATCCATGCGGCCATTGAAATATGGCAAATCCACAGTTTCCTAAAAAATTTGGCTTCTCCAATATTTCATGCCAAATATTTGGGATAGTGGTTCTTCATCTCACGGATCAAATGGAATTTGTGTGACCTCTTTGGATGGTATTCTTTCCTCGATTTCATTGAGTCGTTGTAGCACTCGGCGGAGTTATCACTATATCTCTTTCATGGCAAACTTCTGATCAACATCTGACTCTTATCTCCTCTGAGCCATGACTAGGGTTTGGGGGTGGGTAAGTGGAAAATGTGTAATGGTGATGTAGAGTGGGGAAAGAAAATTTAGAGGGGATGGAGATGGGTTTTGGTATGGCGGATGCTAGAAACCCTAGGGTAGGACTAAGGTTAGGCTAATTCTGATACCAAATGATATTAGAGTTAACCCAAATCACACTAGAAAAAGTAAATATTAATATTGAAACTCAATTGTGGGCTTATAAACAAGCATTTGGAATAGGAAATAAACAACACGATGCCATAAATGGAAAGTAAGAAGTGACACGACACAAACACTCAACTAGGGTGGATCCTAGGGTGGTGGTGTTGGTCGTGGTCGTTGAGGGTTGGAAAAGTGGCGCAGGGCTGGAAAGACGATTGACAAGCAGAAAACAAGAAGACAATTGTTTCTATGGGGTCAAAAAACAAGTAGATAGTCGGGAGACGAAGCGTGAAGGCTGACTGGGGTGAGGGTAGCAAGGGGGAAGGGCGGAAATGGCTGCAAGACAGCCGATGGGGGAGGCTGGGATGGGGCGACAGTTGATTAGGAGGTTGAGCTGCTAGGGAGGATGGCAACAAGGTTGATTGGCGGGAGGCGATGCCAGCAGGTTGGAGGCTTGTGGGAGGAATTGGGAAGCTGTTTAGGTACGAATAGACACCACCTCTAGATGAGTTACTACCTTAGTACTTTCTTGTCGTTGGATACAACTCTTGGAGGGGAAAATCGGAAGCTGGCGGCTATCCTGATAGAAATCTGAGCAAAGAACTGATCTAACACAACAAACAATATCTATATAGACCTAGGGTAAAGAGTAGTGAGCTCCGCTCCCAATAAGAAGGAACAACATACTTGGAAGGACCGATCAATCTTTCCTTTGCCTAGATCGGACTGGTCGCATGACGCTCGTCATATAATGTGGAATCATAGGTGAGAGTAATAGAACATATACAATAACAACAACAACAATAAGACCTTAGTCCCACTACGTGGGGTCGGCTATATGAATTTTTTTTCTCCATTGGGTATATGCTAAGAAGTATCAACATGGATATAATTTTTTGATATGAAAATTAATAAAAGGAAGTAGAACAAAAAAAAAATCTTTACAGGATTTTACTTAGATATTAAGACATCATTTAATTGAGTATTATGATAATGAATTTAGTTTTTGGTCAAAAGTATATTGAAGTCGATGAAGATATCTATAATGGAGCATTAACTAGTATTAGTATTTTTTAGTAATGAAAGAGTTCCCTTACTTGCTTAAAGTTCACCATTAATTGTGTCCTTGTATTAATGTTTAAGTTATAAAATATTGGATGAGAGTTGTTTTATTTATTTATTTATTTAATGATGTAGTTTTATTTTGACTTAAAATATTGGAGAGAATATTCAAAAAAATAAAGGATCTTGGATTAGTTGAGTAATGACTGAACATGTGATGAGCAATATTTCAGTGGTATGATATCAATAATTATCTATTAATATTACTGGAAGATAAAGTAATATCAAGGCGTTTTAAGTAAAAATATCTTGAAGGGACTATTAAAAGAGTGTGGACATGATAAAACTTCTAAAGTTGAGTTGAGTGGTTTAAATGGAGGAATGTCTCGAGAGTACTGTGTGATAAGATAATATCATGGAGACAATTTCTTTTAGATTATATTTGTCGAGCTATGTTTAATGAATTTGAGTATTGAACAATAAGGAAGTTATAAATAGAAAATTTGCTGTGAAAAACAAAAATTTTAATATGGTCGTGTAACAAAATTAGGAAGGATATATTAAAAAATGATTATATTAGAGAGATGGGCAATAGCTTCTATTGAAACTAAGACAGTGAAAAATAAATTTAAGATATCTGAATATGTACAATGAAAGGATGTACTAATAAGATCTGTAGATAACATATTGATGCACCAATAAGATGGGTGATTAATTTCAATGTTAAAGGACTAAGAAGAAACAGTGAGACAAAACTTAGATAAAATTTGTCAATAGAATGCGTTTAATATCTCAGGCAACTCATCAGAAGCAAATGCAGAGTGGAGATTTATAAAATGGTTACAAATAGTTGAGATAATATTATGATGATCTAATTCCTTGCCAAGTTCCTGGGCTCATTCCATGTATTATTCTGCACCGTATATTTGTAATAGATGTCGTGTTTGCAGTTTATCTTGAATGAATCAATTGAATCACCCTATTATTCTATGGTGCTTTCAGGTGCAATGGCTCTTATACACCTCATCAAATTTATCCTTAATTGCTGTCAATGATACTCCCCATGTTATCTTGTCCATGCTGTCTAAACTTGTAGTTTTAATATTATAAATTTGTGAGAGGGTTTTGCATATTTGTTTTGTTCTTAACAAGCTCACATTTTCAGTTAGAATGCACATTTTATACAATATAATAACTTTTCTTGCAGATTTTAAAAATAGCAAATGGGTTATACAGGATCTGGGCTGCATACCGTCTGCAACTTACTGGTAAGACTTGTCTGAGTAATAGAATCTTTGCCCATCTTGATTATTGAGATTTATTTTAATCTAAATTGTTAAACTGTCTTAAGAACCTCATATTGATTTTCCATTCCCATTTTTGCTATTTGACTTGTTGGTTTTATGCTGTGTTACTCTTAGGCCGGCCTTCATTGGATAAGATACTTGACTCGAAAAGAAAGTTAACAGTAAGTAAATCTTATTATGATTGTAATGCTCTTTTTTATTTGGATGTTGGTGATGTTTTTGAAATTGAAAGGTTATTGCTAGTTGAAAGGGCAATATTTTGAAATGTTATGCTCTTAACTTCTTTTATAAGATTAGTGATATTAGAATATTAGAATATTTATTAATAAATGATTATGTATTAATTACTTTTATTTTCTTTCCTTTATTCCTTTGTTTTATTTTAATTTCTTTCCTTATTAGTATATCCTGTGATGAATATTTATACCCCTCTTTGCACTAATAAGAAGTTTCTTGGATTCTATTCTAACATGCTAGAGCATAACCCTAGATCCAACAGCCGCCGGCCTCCTTTGCCGGTTCCAGCAGCGGCCACCTAGCCGCCGGCCTCCTTTGCCTGGTTGTACAGGTGCCCTTTCTACAGGAAGTTTCAACAGTCGCTGATCTTCCGTTTCAAGGCTGCCTCTGTAGTTCCCTGCCGATAACCAGCAGCCGCTTCTACAGGAAGTTTCAATAGCACCTGTTTTATTTCTTTCCCTTCCGCTTCTACAGGAAATTCCAACAGCAGCTTTTTGTTTCTTTTCCTACCGCTGTTTTATTTCCTTCCAACAGCTGCTGTTTTATATCTCCGATACCAAACAACTGCTAAAACTGTGAGAACTGCTTATCTTCCTGAAGATATTCTGCAGAAATCTGAATTTCTGAAGTTGTATCCATTTACCTGGACTCTATTGGAATTCATCCATGGCTCCCACAACAACATATCCTTTGGCTCTGTTAGAATTATGACGAATTCATCCAACACTGAATCACCTTCAGAAGGTGTCCTTGATTTCATCGGAGGACCAGCTCCAACCTCTGCTCCCTTGCAGACCGGAGGACCGAAAATCAATAATTTTTTCATCACAACCCATAAGTTGAACGGTAGTAACTTTCTCCCATGGTCCCAAGCAGTGTCTTTGTTTATCAAAGGCTGTGCGAAGTTCAGTCACCACACAAATATGATTTTGTGAGCCTCCAAAAACTAACCTAGCATATGGAGCTGGGGAAGTAGAGAATTTCATGGTCATGTCGTGGCTGGTCAACTCCATGTAGACTTCTATTGGCCGATCATATATGTTCCTTCCTTCAGCTAGTGCCCCTAGACAGTTGTTCATGATACCTACTCAGATATAGGGAATTCCAGCCAACTCTATGAGGTATCTAAAAAAATCCGTGAGTCAAAACAAGCATCCAGGATCGTGAACAATTACTATAATAGCTGCATTATGGATGGAATGTGATCCATATTATGAGTACACTTGGTAATCTACAGTCGACCCATCTCTTTTCCAGAAAATTGTAGAAAATGAGCACATGTTTTAATTTCTGGCATGCCTCAACAAAGATCTTGATGAAGTCCGGGTTCGTACTCTTGGTCGGAATCCTTCAGCTCGTGCGAACTGCTTTCACTGAGATTCGTCGTGAAGAGAACTGGAGAATTGTTATGCTTGGTACTTCCACTTCGTCTGTTGAAGCATTCGTCTTGGTCTCTAACACTGCTCAACCCCAAGTTGGTCATCCCACTTGTGATTTCTACGACAAATCACACCCATGATAAGTGTTGGAAGTTCTGCTGGAAAGTTGCATCCAAACCTTCTGCAAAATCTTCCACTATCAAGGGCCTTGCTACCTCATCTTGATCCAACACAATACAGTCGGCCTCTAGCCAGAACAATCCACAAACCTTCAATTCTCTTAAAAATCAAATGGAGCATTTAATCAAGTTTCTTTGATCCAATCCTCTCTTTTCCGGTCGTTGACCTCCCACGTTCGTCTAGGTACCAATCCTATGAGACTTCTTTTGCTCCTTCTAGTCTATGTATCATTCATTCATGTGCCACGACCGCATGATTGGAAGCTCTCAAGCCTTCTCGACATACTATCCTTGCTCAGGGAAAAATAGTGTTAAAATTGTTGATGGGTCCCAAAGTTCCATTTTGGTAAATGTTCTGTTGTTTTAATAGCAAGTCTAACTCTAGAATTAGTGTTACATGTACGTATGCTGAAATGTATCATTTTATCTATCAGTAAGCTGACATATGACATTGATTGCGTTGTTTTTTTTTCCTTTGATGCTTGTGTCTTTCAGGATCGTGGTTTGGGGAGGATGATTGGAATTTCTAAGCGAGTTGGCTGACTCTACTTTTTCCAAGAAGAAAGCATGGAGAACAATGACACTGCACAAGTAGTTGCAGTTTATCTCAGTCTACTGAATGTCCTATTATGTTATATTGTCGTTTGGGTCATACTAGTTTCCAGTATCTAAAATAATTGTATACATTTATGTTTACGAATAAAAATCACTCTAACTTCAAATGTGAAACCTATTTGTTAGCTAAACATCACCGCGTTCCTTATCCCACCCCACAATTACACACCTTTCGCTTCTTTCTCTCTTATTCACATTGACTTGGACTCTCTTGCACTCCTAGCCACACCAATAAATAGTGGTTCCTTACTTTGATTGATGATCACACTCGGATGACATGAATCTATATTTTAAAAGATAAATTTGAAGTTGCTGTCACTTTAAAAAACTTTCACACCTTCATTTTGACCAAATTCAAAATTCTTATTCTTCGCCTTGACAATGGTCGTGAATTTTTTTAAATCTTTATTAGAAGAATTCTTGGAAAGTAATTCTTTATCGTAGCTCATATGTTGACACTCAACAAAATGGGGTGGCTGAGAGAAAAAATCGACATTTCCTCAACGTTACCCGCTCCATTAAGTTTCACTCTAATGTTCCAAAATGTTTTTGGATTGATGTCATTCTTACCGTCACTTTTCTCGTAAATAGAGTTCCATAAAAAATTCACAACTCCCGTACCCGTTTAGTCGTCTTAAGATCTTGCTTTCCTAACAATCAGTTCTTCTCCACTTTAGAACCCAAAATTTTTGGAGACACAACTTTTGTTCGGAATTCGGCCCCAACTCAGAGTAAACATGTTTTTCTCGGATGCTCTGCCACTCAAAAGGGGTATCATTGCTTTGGTCCTATCACATATAAGGTTTATGTGAGTACGACGTCTCATTCTTTGAAAGTGTTCCCTATTTTGCTAACTCGGCCTCTAGTGGTGGGGAGCTAGAGTTCTTGGACATTGTTTCTTACCCTACTTCTGTGGATGTTCCCCCCACGTCACCTGCCATCAATGAACCCTCTATTCCTTTGGTTCCACTCACTTCTTCTATCACCAATGAGTCATCTTTCCTTGGTTTCACCAGCACACCCTCCTACTCTCAGTCTCTACACTCGACGCACTCGTTCGGACACATCCCCGACACTGCTTCTACTCCAAACGAGGAAGTCAATTCCTCTAGTAAGGTACGCAATCAGACAGACTCTCTCTATTCCTTAACAAAATATGTCTTTCTTCGCAGATTATCACCAACCTGCAGAGCATTTGCTACGACCCTGACCAATTATCAGCTTCCATCTACAATTGAGGTTGCCTTATCGGACCTAGCCAGAAAGTTGTTGACATGGAAAAGATGAATGCTCTTCAGCGGAATCATATTTGAGACATTGTTGATCTTCCTTGGAGTAAGAAAGCAATGAGATGCCGATAGATTTTTAGCATCAAGTTTAAATCTGATAGATTCTTTGAACGCAACAATTCGCGGTTGGTCACCAAAGGGTATTCACAGACCTACAGAGTTGACTATGAGGAGACATTTGCTCTAGTTGTTAAATTAAATACCATTGAGTTCCTCTTATTAGTTGTTAAATTAAATATCATTCAGTTCCTCTTATCCCTTGCAGTGAATCTGGATTGGCTCTTATTTCAGCTTGATGTCAAGAATGCATTTCTGAACGACGATGGACATCTACTCCAGGCTTTGATTCCATTGCCTCCCAGGGCAAGCATGTAGACTGTGAAAATCCCTCTATGGATTGAAGCAATCACCACGGGCGTGGTTTGGGAAATTCTCAAAGTTGGTGGTAGGTCATGGATTCACTCAAGCTCAATCAGACCAGACTCTCTTCTCCTGTCATTTCTTCAGTGGTCATATAGCTATCATTATTGTCTATGTTGATGATATCGCTCTCACAGGTGATGATCTATCAGCATTGGAGTCTCTAAAACGCATATTTGCTGCTTACTTTGAAATGAAAGACTTAGGATCTCTCCGATACTTTGTAGGCATGGAAGTTACTCGGTGCTCGGTCATCTCAGGGTATTGGGTATTTACCTATTTCAACGAAAATATGAGATTGACCTTTTAACAGATAACAATTTTCTCATGTGCAAACCAGTGGTTATTCCGATGGATCTCAATGAAAAACTTCTTCAATTAGGAGAATCAGTCAATTCATGTATGATCTCTATGAGCACGACCTCCAAGCTATCCACTGAATTCTCCACTACTTAAAAGGAATGCTGTGATCAGGTTTCTTTTTTCCCGCCACACCTTTCATTCTATTGTAGTTTACATAGACGCGGATTGGGCCTAGTCCATCCATGGTCGGCAATCTACCACAAGGTACTGTTCATTTGTGTGGGAAAATCTGATTGTGCGAAAAAGTAAAAAACAGTCTGTAGTTGTTCGAAGCATTGCGGAAGTTGAATTTCGATCTATGTCATTGGGAATTTGTAAAGCTTTTTGGTTATGCATCATGCTCCACGAACTACGTATGACAGTCTCCACTTGTCTACAATTGTTCTATGATAACAATATCGCCATAAGGATCGCTCACAACCCTGTCCAGCATGATTGCACCAAGAATGTTGCGATTGACCGTCACTTTATTAAGGAAAAACTGGTGTCCGGGGAAATTTGTGTTCCATTTGTGTTGTCTAGTTATCGATTGGCAGATATTTTCACCAAAAACGTTCCTCGGCCACTTTCGATGTGTTCAAATCCAAGTTGAACATGATTGACATTCATGCTTCACTTGAGGGGGAGTATTAGAATATTAGAATATTTATTCATAAAGGATTTTGTATTAATTACTTCTATTTTTTTTCCTTTATTCATTTATTCTTTTTTTATTTGTTTCCTTATTAGTGTATCCTGTAATGGGTCCTTATTACCCTCCTTGCATCAATAAGAATAATCTTGGGTTCTATTCTAACAAGTGGTAGAACGTCCAACATCATGAAAATATTCTTCCTATGTTTAACTGATGGAAGTCATTTTATACATTTTGTAAGGATGGTGTGAGTCTATTTCTTTATAGAAATGCATATAATTATGCAAGTCATGGAACTTTGATGTCAAGCCATAAAGTTCTTTTTTAAGTAAGGATGATATAATATCCAAAAATTTCCTTGTTAAAGAATGATAATATAATTTCTTTCAATCTTTCAATTCATAAACTTCAAAAATGTCAAAATCTAACGTAGTTGAGTGAAAACTTAATATCCATATTCAATAACTTCCGATTTAAACAAATTAACCAAATTTACCTTGCTCAGTTGTGTTCGTCCCTTCTTCAGTCGTTCATAAGTCTCCCATACATAAGAAATTATTACATTCGGATATGCTGCATTTGGATTAGGTGCGGATGATAAATTTTTTTGATAGTATTGGTGGTATTTATGATAGTATTAGTGGTATTTATGATAGTATTAGTGGTACTGTGGTGTAATACTATCATAATACTATCAATACTATCATAAATATCACCATTCATACATTCGTTATCTGGATACAATATACCCTTACTGTCCTAGCCGGAACTAATGCATGCGTTGTCTCTCATCCCCTTCACTCATGAAAACTTACCTTCGTCTCCTAATTGACGTCTATTATGCCGAACTGACACGCCGAATGAGTTTCTTATTTAATATTATTATACGCATGTTCTTTTTCTGACTCTTACCCTCCGAATCTCTCCCTTTTTTTAATATCTATTATACATGTTATGTCTTCTAATTAAGTATTAAGTGTTCGTTGCGACATTCATTAAATTTCTATATTTATGCAATTATTATGTGATGACAAAAAATTGACTTTTGATTATTTAACTTGAGAAAAAATTTTAATTTCGTCCATTCAAAACTAAATTGAATTCAGCTTGTTTTGATTTGAAAAATCGTTGGGTCTTTCTAAACTTTTAATCTCAAAATTGAATTGATCAAACTAATTGAATACACGAGTTTACTTGTACGTCAGCCAACTGCCATGAAATTCTGATTTTGTAATGATGAACTTTTGCACAACTGGTATTAAAAAATTCTATGCATAGTTACGGCGCAATGAATGCTAAATTATTTTAAGTATGATTTAAGCACAAAAAACTCTATTCATATGAATTCACATATCTAACACCTATAACTTCAATTTTAACATACATGCCACTTCACCTATGCATTAAAAGGTAAAATTGTGATATTTTTGTTATGTTATAAAAAGTTTGGGTTGTATTGATGTAAAAAATAAAGTTTTGGTGTTAGATATATAAATACATAAGAATTCGGTGCTATGTATGTAAATGCTTCTTGTTTTTATTCTTCATACTAATTGAATGTTAATGGATAAGTTGGTTCTTTCTTTCAGCCTGGGACTTGCAATGATGATAAGATCTGCAAGATGTGAGCTACATTTTATTTCCAGGTCATATATTTTGACATAAAAAGAAGGTATAAAAACAAATATATATATATATATCCATGTATTGGTCTTTATGTGTAGTGTCGCTGCCCCTGGCGTCACAGAAATCAATCAATTTCTTCAAGCTTAAAAGGCATTTAGTTTTAGTTTATGTTGAACGTGCTTTTCTCATGCTTACTCTGGACAGGGAAATATAATACAGTTATAAGGCAAAAAAAAAAAAATATAATATTTCTTGTATTTGATAACTATAACAGAGTTCATCTGTATATCACAGATCATAATATGTGATTGATGCAAAAAAAGTTGTGAATTATTATTGTTATTTAAAAAAGTATATAATTGCGTTATAGTTGCAGAACCAGTAGACTAGTAATTTTTACAAGAAGATGGAGTGTTACACTCAGAAAAATCACATAATAAAAGAACATATTACAATTAAATCTCACAATGCCCTCTTACTGGAAGCTAAACTCCGCCATTAACATCTGCTGCAACCAACCAGTTGGACAATTTTTTGGGATATAGTTTTACTTTGAAACATCACCTCTATATCACTCATCCAATATAATGCTGACCAAAAAGGAAAAGAAAACAAAAACATAACCAAATTTTACATGAGCTTATCTGCAGATTGGCTGCTGCTCAACTTGTGAAGGTTGACCTAGAAAAATTGTGAAGGCTGCTCCTCAACTTGTGAAGGTTGACCTAGAAAAATTGTGAAGGGATGAACGAATGAACCTTTACTTAAGCTTATTTCCTGGGAGATATGAATAGCATTCTATCTTGCTTTCGACTTGAGCATCTATGTAATGGAGAAAACTTCCCAACTCCGTTAGCCTGTCGAATTTCTGAATTGATAGTCAAGTATTATTAGTAAATTTCTAGACTTTGTAGTTCAAGTAATTGTAATTTTTTTTAATAAGTTTTAAAATTTAGCTTTTAGACAAGTAAATAATACATAAGAATCGAGTGGTATGCTTGTAAATGCCCCTCTTACCATGCATACCACTCAATTCCTATGTATTTACATATCTAACAACTAAATTTTGCTTTCTAACAATTATACCATCCGAATCTTTCACTTCACATAAAAAATACCAACATTTTTATTTTTAAAAAGTGAAATTCACCTTTTCAATCATAAATAAGGTGGAATGTATGTAGAACTTGAAGTTCAGGTGTTAGATATGTAAATACAGAAGAACTGAGTGGTCTGCATGTAAATCTTATATATATATATATATATATATTACCTCTTTGCCTCTGGCATTATCAGCATATATAGGAGTTGTTGGATCATTTGTGATTTTATTAGAAAATCGCTTCGAGCCTTTAGAAGTTTGTTCTGCTTCGCCTTCATATTCATCCCCAACTTTCCGACTGAATGCTTCAGGAATGGCGCTTAAGCTGTTGAAGAACTCCTCATATAGAGGTGTCTGTAATTTCTTCAGATCAATAGCCTGGAAGCAATTTCAGATAGTTTTAGAAGTGGTGTGATAAATGAATAAAATTTATAATGTAGATCAATATTTCATACCTTTTCATCTAGGAATGCTCTGATTTTCCTTTCCGTGACTTCATAATCATCTTCCTCACATGTAGGCTCACATGGGAATGCGAATTTATTCTCCCCGTTTGATGATTCATCCATGCTATTTAGAACATGTGCATCAAGTTTAGATGGCCATTCATCAAATGGCTCTGACATGGGATTGAAACTCTATATAAAGAAAAAAAGGATCGCCATTAGATGATCGTGAAGTAATTTTTTTCTCATTTCATTCTAAGATATCACCAGTAAATTACTGTTAAGTATCAGTTATTTGCAGATTATTTGACTAAAGGTATTTGAATTTTTCATTGTATTTTTTTATTGCCATTGTTTTATTTGAAGGAGCTGTAAAAGCTTCACAATTAACAATCAAAGTCATGCTGATAGCTGTAGCAGCAGCACATAATTTATTGATGTGTTGTGTTTTTTTTATCTTTGTTCTATTTCATTTGTTCTCAATGATTTGAATTAGATCTTACTTAATTCTCCCATAATAACAACATGACACGATTTGTACTAACTTCTTGCATATAATATCTACATATATAAATAAAGAATAAGGTCTTGCAGATTAAACCTTTGGACATGCATCCTTGTCAAAAATTTGGCACATATCATCACTGGAATTTGTGTCCCAAATAGGTCTGAGGTCAGAAAGCTGTTCAGTGTAGCTTCCACTGTGCTCAATATTCCTGAAACCCCAGCAAAATGAACTTAGATTTGTGCTGAAGTTGAAAAGGTAGTTATTTGTTGCATCATTATATTGATTATATTATGTTTGAAGAAAACTGATAACACTAATGACTTACAGATCTTTCACGTAGGATTTGGTAACTGGTACAACTCCTTTCAAAGAATCCTGATAGACACCATTAAGAGTGGAATATATGTGACTTATAAGAGGAACGGCAGAGAATATAGATGGAAAAAATTTAGGGGCATTTACATGCATACCACCCAATTATTTTGTATTTACATATCTAACACCTGAACTTGCTTTTTACATTTATACCACCCAAATTTTATATATCACATAAAAAATACCACCATTTTGACTTTTAAAAAGAGAAATACACTGCAAAATGAACTTAGATTTGTGCTAAAGTTGAAAAGGTAGCCATTTGTTGCATCATTATATTGTTTATATTATGTTTGAAGAAAACTGATAACACTAATACTTACAGATCTTTCACGTAGGATTTGGTAACTGGTACAACTCCTTTCAAAGAATCCTGATAGACACCATCAAGAGTGGAATATATGTGACTTATAAGAGGAACGGCAGAGAATATAGATGGAAAAAATTTAGGGGCATTTACATGCATACCACCCAATTATTTTGTATTTACATATCTAACACCTGAACTTGCTTTTTACATTTATACCACCCAAATTTTATATATCACATAAAAAATACCACCATTTTGACTTTTAAAAAGAGAAATACACATTTTTCATGCACAGGTAAGGCGGTATATGTATGTAAAAATTAAAGGTTATGTATTAGATATATAAATATATAAGAATTAAGTGTTACGTATGTAGATCTTCCAAAACTTTATTGGGAAGGAGGAGGCTTACCGTATTTGAAGAGAGATGAACTGATTGTGAATGTTCAAAATCCTTGGCAACAAAAGGATGCTGCACAAAGTTTTGAAAATATGCAAATTAAAATTTCATGATCACAGCAGTAAATAAACAAGTTACCGTGATTTTTAACTAAACAATTATCTTAAGCCGACCTGGAGCAAATCTGATGCAGATGGCCTCAAGTTTGGTTCCCTGTATCACATTTGATGATTAGAACTGTGACTGAAAGCATAAGAGATGCAAAATGTAGAATAGGTATTAACGGGCATTGCTGTTGCACAAATGTGTTTGATGAGAAATGACCCTAGACAACCTTAAAAACAAAGAGTGACAGAATATTGGTATGATCTGATCTCAAAATGAGCACATTTCTCCACAAAAATTAGGGCGAACATAATATTTCTTCAATAAATCAAACAACTCAACAAGAACAAAAAGTTGAGCACCTACAATTTGAGAGGTAGGTGATCTCCCAATTCTTACGATGCAAGAGGTAGGAAATCTCTCACAAACCCTGGACCTAAGATTCACAACTCAATCTCATGAATAAACCTAATCCTAGCCATAACAAGTCGATATCACATCCAAGCTAGAGATTTCTCTTCTAAACATAACCCTACCGTCATGAATTTCTCCTCCCCATACCCTACCGTCATGAATTTCTCCTCCTCATATAGCCCATTCATCGCGAAGTATCGCTCTGCTCGATACACCCACCCATGTGTATATTCCCTCTTGAAGATCGGCATCTTCAACTTCCGAAAACATATCCACCACAACTTCCTCTTCTTTCATTGTTTCCCCCATGTATCGAAGTTAAAACTCCCTCCTTCGATCGTAGTCATATCCCCTCCCTGCTTCTCTCCTTTCTTCTTCGTGCTCCTCCATACCTAAACCTAGCCATAATAAGCTGACATCACCTTCACTGCAACCAAGCTATAGATTTCTCTTCTGAACATAATCCTACCGTAATGAGTTTCTCCTCCTCAAATAGCCCATTCATCGCGAAGTATCGGTCCAACCAATGATACACCCACCCATGTGTGTATTCCCTCTCGAAGATCAGCACCTTCACCTTCTTAAAACATATCCACCACAACTTCCTCTTCTTCTGTGTTTCTCCCATGTATTGAAGGTAAAACTCCCTCTTTCGATCGCAGTCATATCCCCCCTCCCTGCTTTTCTCCTTTCTTCTTCATGCTCCTCCATAACTCTTGCATAATCTCTTCTCCATGTTTCCGCCCAACTGCCTCTATCAGAAATAATCTAATCCAACCCCAGTTGGAGCTGAGAGGGGGTTCATGTCGGTGGATGTTTTCCTCCTCATGTTTCTCACATTCAATCTCTTTTCCTTTTGACCTTGCCATGGATTCTCCAGTCAAGCTTTGGTTAGGGTTTGCATATTGAGCCGTCTCACCGGTTTTGGATTGCATCTCAATGAGTCTCTTTAGTATCTTCGAATTTCAATATGCTCTTGAATCTGCCCTCCAGTCGGTTCTCCATAAAATATCTGCAATTACTGTTTTTTTTTTGTTTAGTTTATTCTAAAAATATCTGCATCTAGCTTCACAACATGATCTTATCATTACAATCTGGGAATATCAACATCTTCATAGCAGGCTTCTGAACAACATTGACAGTTTGACAAGCAGCTTCTTAAAGAGAGAAGGAACATTATAGATCTTAGTTTAAGTCTGTCTGAAATCAACACGACAAAGAAAAATAGAGAATGAATGTTTAAAAGCAAGCAGAAAATGTTTCTCACGTTCAATCTCTTTTCCTTTTGATCTTGCCATGGATTCTCCAGTCAACCCTTTCTAGGGTTTGTCAATTGAGTCTGCAGGGTCTTGAACTGCATCTCAATAAGTTTCCTTATCATCTCCTCCAAGTTCTAGAATCTATTGTCAATGGAGGAAAATCTTTCTTCTATCTTGAATTTAAGTTGTCATTACCTCTCCTTTCAATCTCTCTTCCAAAGCATCAACTTTTTCTGTTGAAATCTCTTATGGACAATTTTGAAACTCCTTTATCCCGTGATTCCATTATTTGGCTTCCAACCGTCTCAAATCAAACTTGTATTGAGACTAAGGCACAACGGTGACACAGCCAAAAACTTCTTGATCTTGCACGCCACAATCCTATAGTTGGCTATATCGCGAGGTTCAACTTCGTGATCCCATTCGTTGGCTTCCCATCTAGTTGAATCGCGTCTATATTGCACTTTGATCATGCAAGGGATCCCATCGTCCGCTTCCTCGCATAAATCGCTATCTGAGTGTGCAGAAATAGAGAATGAAAAGGCTTTATTTCACAGTTGTACGTCCAAACTAAAAGCAAGCAGAAAAATAGAGAATGAATGTTCAAAACTATATTATGGTATTAAAGAAAATTTGCATCCGTACTTCTGCAAACATTTCAAGAGAAAATGCTTAGCTTCAGATGAAAGATGCTCTGGAATAGGAGGATGCGATTTTGTAGTCCCAATGTGAAATAAAGCTGCAACCTGGAGATTTTTAACTTAATAAATATAACTAAATAAACTAACAAGGCTTGGGATGTACAGAAAGAAGGAATAAAGTGATGATTAGGGTAGTTTACCTCTTGATATTGCTGGCTCCATGGAGGTTTTCCAGTTGCCATCTCGATAACAGTACAGCCAACACTCCATATGTCCGCAGAGCTAGGTTTAGTTCTCGATGTTAGTATGTATTTAAGTTGATCATATAAATTGAAAATTTTAGAAATTATATTCAATTTTAGATTAGGCATCAACCATACAAATAGCCTACTATGACCAAATGGAAGAACGAATGTTGAAAGTTTCTATCATGCAAAGGATATAAATGCATGACGTTGAAACAGTAAACATAAAATCTCCTTAGAATTATTATAGTTTTTCTACAGTTGGCATATGTTTATGTGTTGCAACTCCAAATGTCATAAATTACATATACTTTATTTGCTTCCATATGCTAGGGTCTGCACCATTGTGACAAGCCAATTATTTATAATAGTTTCACTAGGAATCAGAACATGATATGCGCATCTTTTAATAAATTTCATCCTAAAATGCATGTCAATTAAAGGCAATTTTCAGTTTGTGTACTTTGAATTAGGATAACAACTCTTTCTCTAATGTGAAGGAAAATATTGATGTATCATATCTGACTTTAAAAATATCATAATTTTAACAAAATAATTGAATGATATTGTGACTTTAATGAATTTAATTGCTTACAAATTGAGGTCATATAAAATCATATAATGCATCGGAACAAATGCTAACAAATTGAAAATTTTTAAGAAAATCTAATATTAATATATTTTTCAATGTATTTGTTTTGATTTTATATTATGCACCTACTATCAATATAACTCCTCTCTCCGTCTCCTTATTTTGAGTTCACTTCCTGGGATTTTTATCTTTTTAACAGCTAGTTATAAACCAAATTACCTAGTCCAAAATCGTAGTTTGTCTTTAGCAGCGTCCTTCACCCATTCCAAGTTTGGCGGAGTAGCCACCTCACCATGTATCCCATGACACTACTTGAAGAGAACCTAAACTCCACACTAAGAAGCCTAAAATTTCTTTTAAGTATATCCTACACGAGACCACTTGATACTTAGTGAGGGAGGGAGGAGGGAGGGGAGAGTTTATTTATTTCTAGCGGATTTTTATTTATCAAGAGAATCAATTTTTTAGTTCCAATCTCCCATTTGGACAATTACCATTTAATAACAAGCCACTTCATAGATTAATGTCTTCAAATTTGGGATCACCAGGCCCAATTATGTGAGTTTATAAATTCCACTGATGGTCAATGGGCTTAACTCCACCCACATTGGGTCTAACGCATCAAAACTAGGAAACTATTGATCTTATTCTCCTTAAATACAAAATATATAATATGGGGGATCTCCACTACCTAGGTCCGTTTGGTCAGCAATGCAGCATCACACAGCAGTTTTTTCTGTTTGGATAAACTGCATTTTGACAGTTTTTTCAAAAAACTGTCGCTGAAATCTGTGTTTTCCTACCGGTCCTGACAATGTGCAGCAACGGCAGTTTTCTAGCTATGTTGACAGTTTTTTGAAAAAACTGTCGCTAAAATCTGTGTTTTCCCACCGGTTCTGACAATGTGCAGCAACGGCAGTTTTCTAGCTATGGTCCAACTTATTTTAAAAAAAAATGTAATTGTCATTGTAGTTTTTTGAACGTTATATTATTTTTAAACAGCTTCACAGGTGTTTTTTAATAAACTGCAGCTGCCCCAAACAGACCCTTAGTAGTTTTTTTTAAAAGTAACATTTTTAGTTCTAGAATATGATTTGCCCCAAACAGACCCTTAGTAGTTATTTTTAAAAGTAACATTTTTAGTTCTAGAATATGATTATTTTGTGGGTGATTATGATGATAAGGAAGATCTCCATTATCTTACAAGCAATTTTGTAAGAATTAAAAGCCCAATTCTAGAGTATGGCAATTTTGTAGATGAATAGACTTAGTTTCCCCAGCATTGACAGCAATAAAGCATGAAGCTATATTATGTGAGGAATGAATAGACTTAATTTCTCCAACATTGGGAGTACAGCGTGAAGCTACATTGTGTGAGGAATTTTGTTGATCTACTTTTCCTATTTTTTTCAAGCAAATTGGCCCTAAATTGAAATTTCAAAATCTTGCAGGGATCTTACAAGGCACTTGTTCTTTCAAATAGTTTAAGAAATAAAGGGCATTTTCATTTGTGACAAAGTGTGTCACCATGTTCTAAATTTGGACATTAATTGGTAGTACCAAATAGCATATAATTTGCACTATTTTTTACAATTATCACACTTAATGACTTTAAAAGTTTAATCATGTCTTTTAATATTCCCCGCATAAGCCACACTACCATATTATTTAAATTTAAAGGAATGCCTTCTTATTATTATTAGTAAACTCACTCCTTTTTTATTATTTTATTATCAAGAATATTGGTTTGATGTTCTTAAGGAGTGAATGCTAGGATTATTGATTACATTTATATAAGTAGCATATGTATAATGTGGTAAATTTGATGTACTTTTAAGTTAATATCTTTTCTTATTTGAATGTATAATAATTAGATTTTGTTTTTCAATAGTGGATGTTGATTATAATGGTTTATTATTTCATGTAGCATTGGAGTACCTAAACATATATTGTATATTTTTAGTTGGTTTATATTAAATGTAAAATGGAATTAGTTTATGGATTTTTTATAAAAATTCTTCAAAGTCATTCAACAATTTATTATGTAGAATAAGCCATATTACAAAACTTGATAAGTAGAGGTCTTTTTGGTATTAAAACCAAGATAATGAACCACATCGATATCATTATGTAAATCCATATTTTTTAGGGCATTCTCATATTCTTTAACAAAAAATGACCAATCTTAGCAATTAATCACTGCTATGTTTGTAACACAGTTTCAACACTCTGTATAAAGTTGAATAACTTTATTAAATTTCTCTAAATCAACAATTAACAAAATTACACAATAACTTTTACCATAAATTGCCAACCTGCAGATTTCTAGCATTTACTCGTTCTATTTTTGGAATGTAGAAACCAATACCTCCATGGTCGTGGACCCTTCAATAAATCACTATTATTGCGCCTTTATTTCGCACTAACAGTAAATATGCTTTACTTCACATTGTTTCCTTGATAAATATGCTTTTATCCATCTTTACTATTGTGCTATTTTATTTTTGGTTTTTTTGTATTAGAGTATTCCAAATATATTTTTGGGTTTAAACTATTTCCATTTTCAGCCGATTATTAGATGTAAAGTTAGCATTGGCGCTGCTTGGCTAGCAAATGATGGGTAGTTTTATATTTGAAACCATAGATGAAGGTTGAAGTTCAAAGCCTCCTATACATTGCTATTCAATGTTTATGTTGCAATTATATGGGATGCATTTTTTTGCCAAAGTAACACATAATACTAGAAATTACATATGATTTATCATACTTGATAACAAGAAGAATGCATATTACGCAAAAGTTGTGCATTTGTTTGATCAAAGTTGAGTTCGTATATACATGATTTATAATATGAGATGCATTTTATTTTTTTGTCAAAGTGACATAATGCTAGAAATTGCATATGATTTATAATACTTGATAACAAGAAGAATGCATCATTTTATGAAAAAAATTACGCGTCCATTTGATCAAATTTGACTTTGTATGCATCCCCACATATCATGATAATTATGCACATGGACATGTATTCTTCAGTTTAGAAAAACAATAGCCATACCACCCTTTCTTAAAAAAATAACCAGCAGTAACGTGTATTTGTGCGTTGCATGGCCAACTCGTTGAGAATTGAATGAAATAAAAAAGTATGGGTAGAAATAAATTTTGTTGTGCCCTTTCATCTTTGTGTGATTTTGTAGTAAATAAAAGTAGTTGAGTGCTAGTTTTATAGATATGTAAGATTTGAATGTTACACAACATGATATATAGTGACAAAAATATAGTGTGTAAATATGTTGATTTACATTGACATGCATATATAATATAGTGTGTAAATATGCATGATAAGTGTATTCTTAAATAACAAGTAGCTGCTAACAATAGCAAAATGGAGCAAAAAGTTGAAATGTATGAGGCATATTGGATTAACAAATAAGTAAATGTAATTTTTAATAGAGCATGTAAAAGAAAAAGAGATTCAAAAAGATTTTATATCCTTACAAAGTATGACCTATTTGAAGTATTACTTCTGGAGCCATCCAGTAAGGAGTGCCTTTCATTGATTTGGCTGCTGTCATTGTTGCCTAATGAAAATTTTACATCATAAACAAATCAAATGATAGTAATAATTCTGAAAAAAAGGAAATAGATGTAATAACCAAATGTATAATATTTTATGCGACAAGTAGTAATTAAATACCCTTTTAATAGTTATACCAACAATGATAGATAGCACTGGGCAAGAGTTACATGTTATAATCACTTTATCAGAATAACATCATTAAACTAAATGACATAAAGTGATTTCAAAATTATTATTTAACTAACTCTGTAGCACAAACTTGAAATTGTCTGTTGGGTTTAAAATCTTAAGTTTTATTGATCTTGCATTTACATACATACCACCCAATTCTTGTGTTTTTACATATCCAAGTACCTAAACTTAATTTTTTTACATTTACACCAACCAAATCCTTCATATGCATTTAACGTTTGAAAAGTGAAATACACCTTTTATGCATAAGTAAGGTGGCATATATATAATAGGTGTTCAATATGTAAATACTTAAGAATCAAGTGGTATGTATGTAAATCTTCCAAATAAATAAACTCCAGAGTTTCCTCGAGCATTATTTTACCAGTTTGGCCACTTGTTTAGATGCTCCAAAATCTGCAAGTTTGATGCAGCCTTTATTATCAACAAGAATGTTTGCACCCTGAATTCAAGAGAAAAAGACTTCACTATTCAAACAACGTAGAATTAAAAAAACCAAAGATATAATCTAAGAAATTATGTTAATATGCCTTTATATCTCTGTGAATAATCCCATTCTTATGAAGATACTCCAGGCCCTGCAATAGCTGCTTGGTGTACATTTTTATAACCTGCTTAAATCATAAACGCCTAAGCAGAATTAGCTTTCAGTTATCACTTATCCAGTTATGTCAAACAAACACCCAATTGTTATGTATTTTCATATCTAACACCTAAACTTTGTTTTTTCACATTTATACCACCCAAAATTTCCTTATCACATGAAAAAGACTGCTATCTTAACTTTTAATCATGCATAGGTAATGTGGCATATGTGTAAAAATTGAAGTTTAGGTGTTAGATATGCAAATACATGAGAATTGAGTGGTATGTATGTAAATCTTCCAACATAATCATGGCACATGGCACATACAGCTTCAGGAAAAGAACCAAATTTTCCCAGTAGTGATGAAATGGAACCTCCTGGTACAAACTCCAATAAGATATTTAGGGTTTCTTCTTCCCTCACAGTTCCCAAATATCTCTGATTGAAAGACAACAAAGAAGAGATGCAATTTTGATTTTTACAGCAAAAGAAAGACCAGTTATTTTAGAAAAACACTAAGAAGGAGAGAACTTACGACAATATTTGGATGTGAGAGGTTCTTGAGAAGTTTCACCTCTTCTTCAAGCTCCCTTATATGAGCCTGCAAACGGTTTTTTTTTTTTAAAGAAGTTTTTAAGAAGAACGGAGAAGAAAGTCAGTTCAGGGAAGACGAACACTGTAATTTTATATGATTTTAGAAGAAGGAAGGAAGGAAGAAAAGAGTCTAACTTGGGCTTTCTCCTTCGAGGCATTACTCGTTCCGATCAAAACCTGCAAATCTGAAACCAATCAGGTCACCATAGCAACAGAAATCAATAATAATCGAAATTAAAAGAAGCAGGGGAGGGGAGGTAGAAGAGGAGACCTGTTTGACTGCGAGAAGCTCGCCGGAATCTAGATTCATGCCCATGTAGACATGGCCGAAGGCTCCGCAGCCGATTAGCTCGCCCTTCCTCCACCGGATCGGAGAGGCGTCCTCCGTCGTCTCCGCCGGAGAAAGCGGTTGCGGGGATGGAGTGGGTTTGGGAGAAAGCCCTAACCCTAGGCCCAATCCCACCCTCGATTTTCTCAAACGCGACCCGATCTTTTCGACGATGCGGCTACCACCGCCATCGTTTCCGGCGGGATTCGAGCGGAGAGAGAAAGAGCGCCGAACTGATCCGAATAGATCTTGCATTCTCTTCTTTCCTTCTTCAGCGTTGATCACTTGGCCTTCCACTTCAACAAGATTGGGGAATATGTGGATTTTTCTTCCTTTTTTTCTACTTTCTGTCTCCGCTCAAGAGAGAGGCTTATGGTTTTGCTTCTCATTTTCAAAAGCTGGGTTGGTGTGACCAAAATGCCCCTTGGAGCCGTTACATTTGGATGGCAGCGAAGGTGCCCCAAAAGCTGATTTATATATATATATATATTACTAGTTGGTGAAGTATAAGTGGGCACTTAAACTAATATGCATTCATAATTTAAATTTATGAATAAAAAAAAGAACGTAAAAATAATTTAAATTTTTGCATTCATTATTTTATGCATAAATATGATATAAATCATTACTTGAGATTTGAATTGAACTCTAAGATTGAGTAAACAGTTGTCTAGTAAAGGTTATAACAGCTCTCAAAAATCCAGTAAATTTGTATTTACTAAGGGCGGGCGATCACACCGCTATGACATTTCGAGAAATGTTTGACAACTTGATTTGTCTTTAATATTGCGGCTGTCAGAAAGATGTGGTCTGACATTTTAAAAATTTTTAAAAAAATTATAATAATTGTCATGGCGATTTCTTTTGCAATAACTTCACAATTATTTCTTCAACCAATTGCTTCTATCTTAAACAGAACACCTTGTCAATTAGATTTTAGTAAATCATTGATTTAAGGTAACATTTACTATTAATTGGACTGTTTAAATCTTGAATTTAAAATTGTCATTTTTTATGTTTCATAATATTCAACTTAAATTCCACTTAAATCTGTTACCATACAACCCAAAATCTTATTGATTTTAATGCGTGTATTAATTTATAATTTGATTAAACCTTATTTAATAAACAATCTAGTTGAGCTTTTTGAATCTTACAACCATCGAATTTTCCAGTTTGTTATAACTAGTGAAAAACTCATTGTTAGGCTATACTAAATGGGACTCTTCTCTAGGTTGGTGACTCCAGGCTTTAGGCAACTTGAAGCTTTATGAGTTTCAAGGAATAGGCAATTCAAGGCAATACACAATCTGCAACTTAATGAATTTGGTTCAAAATTTCTTAATTAATCTGATTATATATATATATATATTGAAGTAGATAATTAGTTTTATTACAATTATATTTTTTGTTTCCTTACATATATAATTACCATTCTAAAATTGATAACCAAAAATGAATTAATTTTTTAACCATTGAAAATATATAAAATAGATGTCAGGGTTCTTTTGGTTTCACTAGGAAAGGCTATGAATTGTGGGCCTCACGGGCCTAGCAGAATGGGCTACATGGTTGAAAGGGCTTATAACGATTTGGGGTCCTTTATTTCGTCAATCCATCTAGGTTTTCCGAAGGCTGGCGCAAAGTGCGATCGACTTACAGCGAGAAAGCAGCAGATGAGCGCAGCGATGACGATGAAGGGAGTCGGCGACGTGGCCTACAAGGCACTCACCGCCGGCCTCGGCGCCGCCACCCTTTACCTCGCCGTCACTTTCTCCATTAATGTCTACCGTGGACTCTCCTGGCACTCTTCGCAATCCGTAAGCCTCGCCTTCTTCATTTCCGCATTTGATGCTTGTTTCAATCGCTTGTTTTTTAAAATGGAATTTGGTGCTGATTCAGCACCAGAAAAAATTAGACTTTTTTCTGTGGTTAAAAATTACATTTTTACAACGGATTAGTAAATTCTGTAGACCTAGAATTTAAGAAAAAACTCAGAAGAAATTGGATTTATTAAATCCAGGATCTAAAAGTTGCCATTTTTTGGTTTGGCAAAATTTAAGTTAAATTCAACTTAAATCTGTCACTAAACATAAAGAGTTGAGCAGAAATATTTTTGCAGGATTGAGAGCGTCTAGTGAATAACAATGGAATGAAAGCAAGGGATGCTGAATCTGCAATAAGGAACATTTTGTCTCTATACCAAATTAACTGAAAATAGGAAAAAGGGAACTATCTTTAGCAAAAAAAAAAAAGAATATTGATAAAGTCTAAGCTTGCAAAGATCTAGACTAAGCCTTTTTTTTCACAACTTATTCTAGTTTTATCTTTCACTTGTTATAATCTTATATGAGAAGATGAAATTTTGTTGCTATAATTCCATGTAATTTATGCATGCCCATGGTATGGTAAAGCTCTAAAAACTAACAATCTTGGTGTTGAAGGTTTCAAAGTCATAATTCCAATCTTGTGTCTCTTTAAGTTGTTCGCCCTTGTTGGTTTGGGCATTCATCTTGTGGATCATAGACCTTGCCAAAGAGCATGGAGGTACTTAGAGATGATTCAACAATAACAACCAATAAAGAAATCTGAGATATGAAAAAAACAACCATTATAAGGACGAGATGCGCTAATCAAATAAAAGACTCGATCGAGATATAGAAATCACCACTTAAAGGATTGACGAAAGAAGAAGATCCATAATGTCCCACAACAACAAAGAGATACAGTTGCCACCACCTAATGTTGTGGATACATACTCGTCCCCATCCATGAACCACAAAGGGACAGGCCCTCACAAAACTCAAATGAATAAAAGACCTCTCATACAATAAATGATTACATATTTATAATCAACAAATGACCTAAACCTAATAAAAACAAGCATACAAAAATACCCTTTGCTATTATTAGGAGTGAGCGACAACCCTAACCTTAGAGAGAGGCTAACCGGCCCTCCTCCACTTGGACTGAACCGGTTTGGGGTTCCCTCCTTGCCTAGCGCCAATCTATAGGGGTTGTTGGAGCTTCTAACTCCTCATGATATGGCGTCAAATCGACCATATTGAAGGTGTTGGAATCGTTGTAACCTTCTAGGATTTGAGGGTCTTCTGACTTCCAACACTTGTCTCCTCAATTGCATAGCTAGAATTTAGGTTTGAGAGATGAAAGAAGATGTGCAAGACTAATTTAAGATGTACAAAAACTATTTAGGGTTGTTAATTTTGGGAGAATTAGAGTTAGGTTAAGATTTGGTTATGGTTTGGTAGATTTAAGTTTGGGAGAATTTTGGTAACCTTAGGATGAAATTGAGTTTAAGCTATCGTTGATACCAAATGATACCGTAGAGAGGGAGTTGGAAAAGGTTCAACAAGAATAACCAAGAAATAAATCCAAGACAGGAATAAAACAAGTAGAGCAAAGAAGAGATACACTAATCAAGAAAATATACAAAATACATGAGTTTCCTACCTCACAACCGATTGGGATACATAAATCACGACTCTAAGAATTGATGAAGGAAGGAATCCCAAGATATCACCATCAATAATAGAGGGATACAGTTGCCACCACCCAACGTTGTGGATACAGACTCGTCCCCATCTAAACGAACAAAAGACCCCCAGTACAATAAACGACTACATATTTATAATCAACAGATGACCTAAACTTTAATAAAAACAAACTGACAAAAATACGATTGCTACTATTTAGAGTGGGTGACAATCTGAACCCTAGAGTGAGGTCCTCCCCCACTTGGACCGAACCCGCTGAAAATATATTTTTAGTAATTATAAATAAAATTGAATCAATTCTATTATTGTGTTTCATGATACTAAGACCTTTGGTAAGACCTAGTCAATCATTTTACACTGTATACCAACTAGACCCCTAAACTAAGACTACATTGGCTTGGATATACAAATTGTTTCCTCTAGCTTTTCTCCAAGTGGCCAGTGCATCAAGTGAAGCTATTCTTTATCATGGTTATTAGTGATTAACCTAAAATAAAATAAGGGCATTTATATAAACACCACCCAATTCCTATGTATTTGCCTATCTAACGCCTAAACTTTATTTTTTACATTTATACCACCCCAATCTTTCCCATCACATCAAAATACCACTATTTTAACTTGAAAAAAAAAAGGTAAAATACACCTTTTCATGCATAGTTAAGGTGACACATATATGTAAAAATTGAAGTTTAGATGTTAGGCATGTAAAAATTCATAGGAATCAAGTGGCATGTATGTAAAGCTTCCAATAAAATATGTACCGAAGTATTGGATGATATCACACAATATTTGCTTTATCAAATAATTAATGAGCCACTCACATGCCTCTTGTTTGAGCTTTGTTCATGAGGCGAATTTTTACCATTTTTAATATCTTAGTTATAGTTAATTCAGCAGTGATAGCTGCCTGAGAATGGAAGTTAAACAACATCAGGCCAATTTAAGCCTGAGCTTATACCTTTAATTTCTGCAACCATATTCAGGAAGAATACCCATTTTTTGTTAAGGGGATCGGAGTACGTAGAGCAGTGGCAAGACTAGTGTTTTACTTGAGTCAACCATAAACTTGACATTATTTGATCGCATTTGGCTCAATGGTAGTTCTTCAATATTTATATATTGTTTCAGTTAATCTCTGAGTAAATACAATAGCTTTAAAATTATTTTGCCGACCCCACGTAGTGGGATTAAGGCTTTGTTGTTGTTGTTTGTTGTTGAAATTTAAATCTGGATACTCCTCAAAAGCTATTTCCATTGATTTACATAGTTGAATGTGATTTGTGGCAACACTTTTTGGGGTTTTTTTGTTGTTTTTATTAATGATACTGTTCTTCTCAGAAAATAGAGAAGGATAAATCTCTGGAATAAAGCTGGAGTGAAGTTTCTTCTTCTACGGAGCTTCTTAAATCCTTAATTCTCCTCAATTTTAAGGCTGACTTGTAATTTTTTATTGCATGTATTTTACCTGCCACCAATTTCTGTTAATTTGCAAATAAGACAAGGAGGCACTGTTTCCATTGCTTAAATAAGTTCATTTCAGTTCTCCAATAATGTTTTTTTTTCAACTTTCTAATATATATATAGATCACTGTGTTTGTATGTCCTATTTTTTTCCTCCCTACTCTGAATTTTGTTACTAATCTGAAAAATTATGGAGTGAATCTCTGCTTATTGGATGTTAGCATCAATGCTACAAAACAGTCCTAAGTTTTGGATGCAGAAAATTAAGGGTTATGTTAGTCAACAACTAATATAAATTTTTGTGGAAACATTTTATTTAAAAAATTCTAACTTTTTTTTTTTTCTCTCAACTGTTATAGCTGTAAATGAACTAATAAATATAATTGATGAGCAACTGGATGAACAAATACATACCGCACAATTCTTATTTATTTAGATATCTAACATCAAAATTTTGATATTTAACGCTTAAATCTTTAACATTATATCAACAATATTACTGTTAATAACCTTCTAAAGTGATATAAGCATTTTCATTAGATTTATAAAACTAGTGAGATAAACATAAATATCAAAGTTCCTAAAAAATACATAAGAAATGTGTGGTATGTCCTAAAAAACAAAAAAGAATCATCTTTGTCGTCGAACCGTCAGAAAGCAATCAAACCATCGGTTCAACCAGAAAATTGGAGGACCGGCGCCCTCTTTTGAAAACCATGAAATTACAACCATTACTTTTGTTTTCAAAAGTTTGAAAAATATGATTAATTTTTATATTTGTATTATTTAGATCATATTTAAATAATTTTAATATTTATTACATTATTCGGTTCAAATCTTAAACTCGTCCTTCAATTTGATCAGCCTTGGCTATTATTTATGTGATATTGAAGATTTGAGTGCTATGTGTGCAAATATAAAAGTTTAGCTTTGAGATGTAAATAAATTGTGTGCTATGTAAATGCCCCTAAATGTAAATATAAAAGTTTAGGTGTTATATATGTAATAATGTAAATATAAAAAAATTGTGTGGTATGGAATGTATATCAATTTCCCAATGAAATATAGTAGATGACAAATTGTCAAAATGAAGTAGGAGGAAAAGCTTCCAACTTACCGATTCACACTTCTTACAGAGTGTAGAAGCATTCAAGGAGTATAAGCAATCCTGACAACAGATAAAAATAAATAAAAGCTTGATTGAGTCACCAAAATCTCCAGGGATCTTTGTACGGAGGCACATAGTTTTCAGTGGGTGGGAGAAGGCGGAAAGAAGCAACTGTTTTCTGCAGGAAAGGTCCCAACTGCAACACCAACAAATTCAATATAGAAAGCTCGGCAAAAGTAACCAAAAACTATCACAACAACTGTTCAATACAGTTAACCCTTTCTATATAAGAATAAAGCGGCATTTACATACATAGCATTCAATTCCTATGTATTTACATATCAAACACCTAAACTTTAATATTTACCTTACCTATGATGAAAAGGTATATTTCACTTTTCTTTTTCTTTTTTTTTTTTTTGAAGTTAAAATGATGGTATTTTTTATGTGATATGAAAGATTTGGGTTTATGTGATATGAGTATTTTTTATGTGATATGAAAGATTTGGGGGGTATAGATGCAAAAAAGTAAAGTATAGGCGTTAGATATGTGCATACGTAGGAGTTGGATGGTATGTATGTAAATGCTCCCTTTTTTCTCTAATCTCTCTTTATAATTAAAATGTAGGTTGAGCCACACGTTGCCTCCACAAAAAAAAAAATGAACATTTCAAATATATCTTCAAGAAAGATTGGGGAAATGATGTCCTCTACTTTCCATTAATTTTCATTCAAAAGCAAACAATAAATAAGATGATTTGTTACTTCTTTCCTTCTTCCCTCTGTTCTCCTTTTTCTAGATGTCTTCATTGAAATTTGGTTAGACTTACCTCTTACTCTTTGAATTTGCTTTCAAATGAGCATAAAATAAAAGTTGATTGATTATCCGTGCATTGCCTTCATCTCAGAACAAATTCAATCAGTAAAAACTCATTCTGAGAAATTTAGATGAGAATATCCTGATTCCTGACCCTTATTTTTCATATCATACTATTTTTTTATTTATTTACATACCTAACCCCCAAACTTCAATATTTACATGCATGACACTCAAATCTTTAATATCACATGAAACATATCACTTTCACATACTTTTAAAAAGGTTAAAAATACCTTTCATGCATAGGTTTTTCACTAGAGTTATAAATGCAGGGGAAATTTACATACCTAGCACACAATTCTTATGTATTTACATATTACACAACTAAACTTTTATATTTACACACATAGCACTTTGGTACTTTAAACCTATACATGAAAAGGTGTATTTCACTTTTAAAATGTGGTTACAATGTTATTTTTTATGTGATATTAAAGATTCGAGTGCTGTGTGGAAATCAACTGATTTGTTCTGTTCTTCTTTAGGTGTGAGATGTGTAACTACATAAGAATTGTGTGATATGCATATATTTTTTATGTGATATTAAAGATTCGAGTACTGTGTGGAAATATGAAAGTTTAGGTGTGAGATGTGTAACTACATAAGAATTGTGTGATATGCATATAAATGCCCCTAAATGCAAATATAAAAGTTCAGGTGTTCATGTAAAAACATAAGAATTGGGTGCTATGTATGTAAATGCTCCTAAATGCAAATACAAAAGTTTAGGTGTTAAATATGTAAATATAAAAGAATTGTGTGGTATGTATGTAAATTTCCCAATAAAATATGGTAGAAAACAAACTGTCAAAATTAAGGAGGAAGAGCGAACAGCTTACAGATTCCCACTTCTTACTGAGTGTAGAAGCATTCAAGGAATATAAGTATCCTGACAACAAACAACAATGACTTAAATATTGCCAAAATTACCATGAAGCAAGTTAAAGAAGAAAAGGATAACTATCTCATTGCCAACAGAACAAATCAGTTGATGCATGAACCGGACATTCATTTCTCTTCAAAATTTAACAAAAAAAAAAAGACCTTCATTTAAACAATCATTAACAAACTTGAATCACAACTCAAAATTTAATAGTTAAATGGCATCTTTTTTAATGCAAATCATGTCATCAAATTAATATTATATTTTCTCTCCCCATCCAAATCGTATGTTTAAGGCTCAGACAGTAGTCTAGTTTTCTTTATTATCATAAACTTACTTTTTACATAAAAATCACTCAAAGCTTTCATACCATATAAAAAATACCACCATTTTAATTTTTAAAACGTGGAATACACATTTTCTCTCCCCATCCAAATCATTAGTTTAGTTTTCTATATTATCATAAACTTACTTTTTACATAAATATCACTCAAAGCTTTCATACCATATAAACAATACCACCATTTTAATTTTTAAAACGTGGAATACACTTTTTCATGCATAGACGAGATGCATGTATGTAAAAAGTTGAAGTTTAGCTGTTTGATACGTAAATGTGTAAAAATTGAGTGGTATGTATTTAAATTTTCCTATTAAATATCTTCTTATTCTATAACCCCATGCAAGAACACATGATGATCACATTATCGTGTATTTTTTAAAGAAAATATAGTCACAATTTTTTTCAGAAAAAGCATTTTCAAACCACAAATTTCTCTTTAGAGGCGAAGAAGCGGTGCGCGTTTCATAAGCCAGAAAGACCAACACTTAAATTGGATTTACCATCTCGTTCAGCAGTTGAAGCCACATTGTGTCTGTAGAGATTGGATTCTTGCGCCTGAAATGGCAGTGAAAAACTCAACCTTAACAAAGCAATTCGTATAATTAAACAAAAATAAAGCTGCTGTTTAATCTCTGGAAGAAGTTAATGAATTCCACGTTTAAATATTAGGAATTTACACGCATAGCACTTAATTTTTATCTATATATATACATAATACATAAGCTCAATTTTTACATATCCGCCGCCTTACCTATGCATGAAAAGCTGTATTTCACTTTTAAAATGTTAAAATATTGGTATTTCTGGCGTGACATGAAAGATTTGAGTGATATAGATATCAAAAAGTAAAGTTTAAGGGTTGGATAAATACATAACAATATAGTACTTAGAATGAATCTCGTAGACCGAGAAGTTAACATAACTCACAGATTTTGTAGGAGATTTCCGAACCAGATATTCATAGTACCAATACACATCTCCATCCGCCTAAAAGAAAACAGAACCGAGGTCTCAGTCATTGATTTATAAAGATTTGGATCGCATATTCTTGTCTAATTTTGCCAAATGCGCCAAAATAAAATGCTGCAAACAAATTAGGAAGATTTACATACATACCACTCAACTCTTGTCTATTTATATCTCCAACATCTAAACTTTAATCTGTACGTATTTATGCCACATTAAATATGCATGAAAAGGTGTATTTCACTTTTTAGAATTTAACAAAAGTCGTATTTTTTATTTGATATAAAAGATTTGGATGGTATAAATGTAGAAGCCGAGTTTAGGTGTTAGATATGTAAATACAATTGGGTGATATGTATCTAAATGCCCCAACAAATTAATGAGCTTACCTCACTAGCATGGGCATCAAGGACAGAACTCTCAATCATTCTCTGGCTTGTTGAGACAGGCTACATAGAACTTGCAGTTTTTCAATAACCATTTATGGTAAAGTTTACATCTATGCATCATACTCAAACAACGAGCTGAGAAATTCTGAAGAAAAATAATAGCAGATTATCTAAAGAATATTTTCACACATATGTGCAAAAATGGGTTAGCTGCAAGCACTCATGACATTGGATAAATAGCACTCGAAATATTTCAATTCACAAAACTAGCACCCATATAATTTTTTTGAACTAGTGAACCGATGCATTTATGTGTGCTATGATCAAACCATTGACAATTTGCTAAAAATAAAAAATTTAAGTTGGGATTTTATCATGAATTTTCATATTTGAATGAGAATTTGAAAAATAGCTGAAAGAGTCTGCTAGATTTGTAAGTGCAATGTTTTGTATTATGTTTGTGATTGCCCCGAGGCAAAAATATTGTTTGTTCTATTCGACATGCATAACTATAAATGAAGATTCAGTTATATAAGTTTTATATACAAAGAGATATTGGATATGCAACCCTCATTCTTATTATCTTTTGCCTTATAGCAACTATTTTCAATTGCCCCTTTTTGTCAAAATCCGTCTATATATGCATATAAGCAAGGATGGATGCAGGCATGCATCCATATCTACACACATGTAGCAACTATTTTCAATTGCCCCTTTTGGTCAAAATCCGTCTATATATGCATATAAGCATGGATGGATGCAGGCATGCATCCATATCTACACACATCACACACACACACGCGCACACACACACACACATACATGCAGACATACATACATATATACTTAAAAAAGCCCAAAGGCAAATATATTAGAAAGGAAAGGTACAGATAGATTGGATAAGAGGGCCCAAACTAGAACCCGATATACAACACACACCAAGGCCCCAAAAAAGTACATAGATACCCTAAAAAGAAAATTATAACGTATGCAAAACTCTACTCCAAAAATCTCCAAACACTCGGAGATTCAAACATAAAATGGGAGCTTGAGAACGACCCAACGTATCATTACCTCTTACCTCTGGTTCTAGGTGGAGAGCCAACTAACAAATGGTTTAGTCTACTGTCATTACCCAAAACAACCAAGGTATCATCCATTAAGTTCCTGAGTTCTAGTATACTGCTATTCTTCTTCTTCTTCTTCTTCCTGGATGTGTAAACCTGTCATTCTTTATTAAAATACCGGCTCATCTGATCCGTGTATTGGTTATATAATATGCATATTGGGCATGCATAACTATAAATGAAGACTCAGTTATACAAGTTTTATATACAAAGAGGTATTGGATATGCAACCCTCATTCTTATTATCTTTAGCCTTATAGTAACTATTTTCAATTGCCCCCTTTTTGTCAAAATTCGTCTATATATGCATATATGCATGGATGGATGCAGGCATGCATCCATATATACATAACCACACAGACACACATACATACACACACATACAGACACACATGCATACATACACACACACAGACATACATACACACAGAGACACATACTTATAGACACACGCACACACATACAAACAACAATTAGGGCAATTGCAACATGACGAAGCTGACGAAGTGGAAGAGCGAACCACTTCTTCTCGAGCACGACGAAGCAACGAAATCGAGGAAGATGCGAGAGGAAGGTGGTTCACGGTGGAAGACGACGGAAGTTGATGAGGGGCGAACCCCTTCTTCTTTGAGCACGACGTAGCGACGAAATCGATGAAGACAACGAACGAGATAGGTGATTCAATGAAGCAGACAACGAAAATCGCCATCACGCGAAACCCTAGTAGAGCCTATTGCGATAAACATAACGATATTTGTAACACACACACACACACATACATACATACAAGACGTGAAATATTAAAATTAAAAATGTTTGTTTTGAGTGGCCTACCATAGGCTGAAGCAATAGAGTATAACACTTCTTAATTAAAATAATAAAATTTCAAGCCAGGGAGGTGGATCCAGACCGGTATGGTTGGTGGTTCCGTCTGTGGGTCAAAATTCACAGTCCATTTCAAAATTTTCATAGCTCAGTTATCAATCCAAACTAGACTTCTAACAAATAAGATTGTGTAATCTTCTTCATCGTTAAGTTGAATAAGGATGTGTTGTCCATCTAAAAGACTAATTTTTTACTCCTTAACTAATTTTTCACTCCTTAATAAAATGCATAAGCTCAAATTCTTTACGAATTAGCTCCATTTTAGGATGGATATAAAGGAATAATTCAGACGACATGAGGAGGCAAGCTGATTACTTTTGGCTTCAATAAAAAAGATGGTTGGCTTTTCATTCTTCCTACCAGCTTTCTTGATGTAACAAAACTTGTCATCCTCCAGCTGCGCAAAAGAAGGCAGGAACAAGCTCAATTTAGGAGTACTTGAGGCGTGAACACCTGCAAGGGAAGCATCATAAGTTCTGTCTGAAGCCATCACCGGTTAAAGTAGGTGAGGCGTTAGAAGCAGTGAAGAATGCAGTCGAGGAAAGAGCAAACGACGAAGAAACGACAATTAGGGCAATTGCAACATGACGAAGCTGACGAAGTCGAAGAGCGAACCCCTTCTTCTCGAGCACGATGAAGCAACGAAATCGAGGAATATGCGAAAGGAGGAAGGTGATTGAAGGTGGAAGACGACGGAAATCTTCTTCGAACGAGCATGACGAAGAACGAAGCAGACAACGCGCGAACCCCTTCTTCGAGCACGACATAGCGACGAAATAGATGAAGACAAAGAACGAGGTAGGTGGTTCAATGAAGCAAACAACGAAAATCACCATCGGGCGAAACCCTAACAGAGCCTCCCGCGATAAACATAACAATATTTGTAACATATATATATATATCGACTGAGGGAGACGACTAGGGCTCGACTGAGTCCGTGAACAACGCCGAAGAGGAACAAGAAGCTTCTCACGGGAATCGTCCGCGAATGACGCCTGTGCCCTATAGTTCGCATCGCCTGTCTGCGGTCTTCTGAGCAGCACCCCGACCTCTTCGGCCCTCTGCCCGATTGGCATCTCAATGGAGCTTCCTTCTTCTTCGGGTGAACCAGGCAAAACCTCATTTGCCCGCGTTTTGGGTAATCCTCGGGAGGAGATGGTGGTTGTGTTCCCCTCAAGTTATAAGGAGAATCATGATGATACAGGTGGCTACCCCTTTATTAAGAATGTAAGCAGGAAAAGTGGGAAGGCAACACTCTTTTTCTCAGAGTCAGAAATTTCAACCCTGACTGACAAATTCAAATTTGCTCTCATTGGAAAATTTCTATGTATGGGGACACCCACCTATGGAGGTTATTAGGAAAAGCTTTGATGACCTCAAATTAGCAGGAAAGTGGAAAGTGAGGCTCATGGATGGGAGACATGTTTTGATTCAGTTAACCGTGCCTGAAAATTACACTCGGATTTTTTCCAAAAAAATATCTTAACATTGCTGGAAAACCTATGAAGCTACTCAAGTGGTCTCCTGATTTCGACAATCACGAAACTCTCACTGTACCGATATGGTTTAATTTACCTAGTCTCAAGCTGCATTTTTTTCACCATCAGGTTCTCTACTCTGTTGGGGTCATCCCCGGGAATCCTTTGAACCTAGATCTACCTACTTTCAACATAACCAGACCCTCGGTGGCCAGAATACTTATGGAAAGGGATATACTTTACCTAATGTTACTGAAGTCTGGCTGGGCACAACCCATAATAATTATTGGCAACAAATCTTCATGGAGCACAGACCCTCATATTGTACCCACTGTAAGATGTTTGATCATGTCCTTGATAAATGTCACAAATTTCATTCAATTTTGAAATCTAAGGTTCAAGTGAATAAGGCTGGGTCTAACCTCACTGCTCTGGACATTTTTGTTCCATCTGGGGAGGATACTACCAGACATGAGGTATCTATTACCCTTGAGGAACCCCCCATGACACTGTTGTTACTATTACTGTAAGTGATGTGATGCTGATACCTTCAAACCCCATACAAAATAATACTAATGGACTATTACCTACAAATGATAGTGTTCAAACTGATAATCAGGAGAGCCTCATAGCTCCACTTCTTCAGGAAGTATCCGGTGTAGAAGCAACTCATACTTCACATATACTAGAACCTATTGTGGTTAATATGGTTGGTAATCCTTCTGCTTCAGTTCTACCACCCCATCAGACTGATTCTTGGGAAGAGGAATGGCAGGTCTATTCCAGGAGGAAGAAGAAGAATGGAGGCCGACTCCAGCTCGGGAACATATTGGATGATACATTGGTTACTATTGACAATGACAATCATCTCACCAGCTTATTAGCTTGCTCCTTCCCTGATACTATGTATTTCGGCATTGTCAAGTTTTTTATTTAAGTATCTAATGTGTAGTTTTGTTTTATTTTATTATTTAATGTATTTTTTTTGTTTTTTTGCAAGTTTTGGAACTATTTATGGTTTTTGTGTGGGTTGGGTCCTCCCACATATTGTATATGTATCTTTCTTTCGATTTAATATATTAGCCTAGTCCTTGATAAATGTCACAAATTTCATCCAATTTTGAAATCTAAGGTTCAAGTGAATAAGGCTGGGTCTAACCTCACTACTCTGGACATTTTTGTTCCATCTGGGGAGGATACTACCAGACATGAGGTATCTATTACCCTTGAGGAACCCCCCATGACACTGTTGTTACTGTTACTGTAAGTGATGTGATGCTGATACCTTCAAACCCCATACAAAATAATACTAATGGACTATTACCTACAAATGATAGTGTTCAAACTGATAATCAGGAGAGCCTCATAGCTTCACTTCTTCAGAAAGTATCTGGTGTATAGGCAACTCATACTTCACATATACTAGAACCTATTGTGGGTAATACAGTTGGTAATCCTTCTGCTTCAGTTCTACCACCCCATCAGACTGATCTTCGGAAGAGGAATGGCAGGTTTATTCCAGGAGGAAGAAAAAGAATGGAGGCTGACTCAGCTCGGGAACATATTGGATGATACATTGGTTACTATTGTCAATGGCAATCATCTTTATTAGCTTACTCCTACCCTAGAACTAAAGGCAGAGGCAAGACAAAATTAGGCCGTTCTCTAGCCACCTGATACTATGTATTTCGACACTGTTAGATTTTTTATTTTAGTATTTAATGTATTTTTTTATTTTTTTGCAAGTTTTGGAACTATTTATGATTTTTGTGTGGGTTATATGTATCTTTCTTTCGATTTAATATATTAGCCTTTTTGGGCTTTAATATATGTATATATATATATATATATATATACCTTTTAATAAAGAGGATTTGCAAGTCCAAAATAGACCCAAACCCAAATCTACAAGGGACCTTTCTCAAGCATGCATGAAAAGAGGAACCTATTACTATTAAATAACCGACTCATTCCCGGAGAAGGTATACTCCAAGTGGAGTCAATTCATCCAATCTTCAACTACAAAAATATTTAAATAATTACCTTTAAAAAAAATAAAAAATTTTATAAAATGTTAAAAGTAAAAAAATATTAATCGCTTTGTGCCCCGAATAACCTCTATCCTCCACGCTAAGTTAACTAAGGACACTACATTTAGAATCAACTTGAGCTCAGAAAGAATTTAGTCATCTATTAATGCTGCCAAACAAATTTAGCTCAAGCACTAAAGTTATAGCACATGCCATCTCATCATGTGGTTAGCCTAATAATGATTATGCTATTATAATACGATTATAACTAAAAACAGTATGCTCCACAATGTAATGCATCCAAAATTCTAGTTTTGCATAAAACATTTGATGAAATACAAAACCTTTATGAGCCTAAGCCAACCTAAAGTTTGCCACTCGTACAACTTCCATCCCCAATCAATAAGGCCCTATTATACGAGCAATTCAAAGTTGTTGCTCAGAAGATTCTAGCCAAGTCGGATTGACCATCTCCGTTAACTATATAGGCTAAGGTCCGTGATTGTCTAAGATAAGAGAACCACGAGATCTTAATCGGGAGTCGTTAACCCCCAAAAAAAATCTCACGAGTAAATTATCTCTTATTATATACTTAGAGAGCCATTGCAATATAACCTATTAAGAGAACCAAAACAGCTACCCTTAAATGAGAGGTTTATTAAGATAAATCCGAAAGCCGCTAAAGAAAGTTCAATCATTATCACCAATTAAAGCACGGTAAAGTTAAAACAAAAGCCTGCCACAACAGTTAAGTTAAGCCACCGAAAGTTTAAACACATAAGGGTAATAATAGGAGCTACTTAATACCAATGCAGATTTGTCAGACAAAACGGAATCTGCTATATCCCTTGCTTTCCATGAATTCTTGTCAATTGAAACCAGGTAGCGCAAATTAGGAGGACCAATCTGCAACAATATGCATTAGTGCTATATGCATGAAACAAAACTCATTCGGAAAGCAAGTTTTTAATGTGCAATATCTTGAGTTCTCCCACAGCATTACAATGAAAATATGCAAAAGTTGAACCTTAAAGGTGTCTGAAAACAAAAATTCTCATTTTAATCAGTTTGGTTCTCATAGTCCAGCCAGTAAGGCAAAACTTAAGCATGTAGCATATGACCAATGGAAAAAAATAAAAAGGAAAATTTATATACCTAACACACAATTCTTCTGTATTTACATATCTTACACCTAAACTTTCATATTTACATATATAGCACTTCCGTGCCTTAAAACTATGCATAAAATGGCGTATATTGACTTTTAAAAGTAGTAATAGTGCTATTTTTTTATGTGATATTAAATATTTGAGTGCTATGAGTGTAAATAGGAGGATTTAGGTGTGAGATATGTATAGACATAAGAATTGTGTGCTATGTATGTGTAAGAATTGTGTGATATGTATGTAAATGCCCCCAAATAAAAAAAAAATTTCTAGATGGTTTTATTGGTAACTTCGAAGTTACCGAATAAATAAAAAAAATTCTAGATGGTTTTATTGGTAACTTCGAAGTTACCGAAACAGAGATGACAAGGTTATTGATCATGTCAACACGCTCAGATACAATGCGCTGCCGTGCATCAGCTGGATAAAATGTTATTGTTAGTCTACAGATATACTAACTTTAGCTCTTATGTTTTACACAAGAAATATAGAATCAGAGATTAACTAATTCGGCTTACGAGATAAAGGAGCAGCAGATGAATATCGTTCGGGTTTCCTTGACTCCACCCTTCACAGAAAAGTGGTGTTTAGATTTCCACAACAAAATATGAGCTACAAGCATAGTTTCTTCAGTTTAAACAGCAGTTGTAATTATTAATTCAATCCCTCTCTTATTAAAGAAAGGAAGATTTACAAACATACCACTCAATTCCTATGTATTTGCATACATACCACCTTACCTATGCATACAAAGGTATATTTCACTTTTTAATAAAGGTATTATTTTTGAGATGCGAAAGATTAGGGTGGTATAAATGTAAAAATCAGAGTTTAGGTATTTGATATGTAAATAGGAGAGTCAAAAAAAGCACGCCTTACATGAACAACTCTTGTTCAACTCGTTGAACTCGATTTATAAACAAACCGAACATGAACAAAAATTTGTTCATTCGTGTTCGGCTCGGAATAACTAAGATATTAAATTTATATATATATATTCAAAAAAAGAAATGGTCGGAGGCTATTATATGAGTCTCGGCCATCCCTCATGCGCCAAAGAATTCGAGTACCACACCCCTCGGCCATCCCTCATGCGCCAAAAAATTCGAGTACCACACCCTACACTCGAGGGCAATTGAACCCCACACCAGAGGAGACTTACAACTGACAAGCAGATGACACCAGAGGGGACTTACAACTGACAAGCAGATGTCCGACCAACTGATCTGAGTACACGGCGCTATATATAATTTCTCCCCCACAACACACACAAATCTCAAACCCTAACCATGCCACCAATGATACATAGGCCCGAGTCTTCCCAGGTAGGGATGCACCAAGAGCTTTGTCGGCTTCAATAGAGACTTGTGGAGATGATGATAGAACCCAAGGAAGATTACCCTCGAACGTGATGTGGAGAGTGGTATGGGAGAAAGGGACGAGGATCTAAATCTCGTCCATTTGGAAGACCTTAGTAATGAGGAAGACATGCCCCGACACTTTGGAATTCGATATCATGGGAGGCCGAGAGAGGAAGCTACACATGGAGGACACGGGGATTTGGGCATCAAAGTAGATCTACAGGAGTTTGATGGAGGTAGGGATCCAAACAAGTTTATCGAATAACTACAATCAATTAAGCGAATCTTCGAGTATAAGGAAATGTTAAGATTATAAAAGGACGAAAAGAGCATCTCCTTATGTGGGAAAACATGTAGAGGTAGCGAAAGAGAGAAGACAATGAAAAGATTACTAGATGGGATGAGGAAGGAAATGCATAGAAAATACCTACTGCCTCATTACCTAGGATATATTTATAAGACTCGGCCACCTACAGCAGTGAGACCTATCAGTAGAGGAGTTCATGATACAGTTTGATCAGTTGTAGATGAAGTGTGAGTTGGTCAAGCCAGAGGAACATACCAAAGCCCATTATTTGGGAGGGTTGAAACCCGCTATCAGCAACATTGTTTAGTTACAACCACATTGGTCACTGGGAGATGTTCAAACTTTAGCCATAAAGATAGAGAGACAATAGAAACAGAGCAGGCCATCACCACCATTCAAGCAACCATTCATAGCTGGAGACATCAGTAGGAGTGTATCTCACGGAGTTGAGAAAACTAGTTTGAACAAGGACAGAGCCACCCTAATAAGAACTTTAAAAGAGTAACACGCTTTCTACAGTCCTCGCCCAAAAATGCTTCGGATGGCATGAATTTAGGGACCTTGCATCGAGCTGCCTACCGAGTCGAGTTGTGTCATCTTGGTAGCTGAGGAACAGGGTGAGGGGTATCATCTTCCATCGAATGAGAGTGAGATGCTTATGGTTTGACGGGTGTTACAAATTGAGGATACGAGTGATCTACAGTGGCTTCGCCACAAAATATTCTACACCTGGTGCACTATGAACGGAAAGGTATGCAACCTCGTCATTAATGGAGGGAGCAGAAAATATGTGGCGTCTATACAAATGGTGGAGAAATTGGGTCTCCTGACTCAATAGCATTCCCAATCATATTCTATGACATGTCTGAAGGAGAACATGGTCGGCATTGACCAGAGGTGCCTAGTGGAGTTTTCGATTGAAAGTCAGTTGCAGGATCAAGTGTAGTGTGACGTGGTACCCATGGAAGTTTGATGCCTTTTGTTGGGGAAACCATGTTAATTAAACTGCAGGACCCATCACGACGGATTCAAAAACATGTACTCTTTCACCAAGGAAGGGAAGTGCATCGTCCTTTTCCCTTCTGCAGAACCCGAGATCATAGGTGCCCTTACCGACTGAGTAGCACCGGTGGAACTAGTTTTGGTGACGACGGAGGATGATAGGACTAAGACAGACTCCAAACACCGGACAGTCATGACAAAGAGCATTTCATGGCATCATGATCGATATCTTACCACCATAGCGACCACCGTTCGGGGAGGTTTAGGTTACACTCACTTCATATCAGGTTATCGACCCTAGCTTACTTTACGAGGATGCAATAGTCTATGCATGTCAAGCAGACCCAGTTCAATTCAGTAGCGAATCCCCATAAGATTGAATCGATAGGGATGTATGCTCGCAAGTGGAGAAAACTCCCTCAAAATTTTGGGAGGCAGCGTGGTTGCCAGTGGGACCCACCCAGCTCCCAACGTCCCCCCTTTCCCTTTTAGGATTGTATCCGACGGCGAGAAGGTGCTTCGACTGTAAATCATCCCGAGGCATTATGTGTCCTTACTTATCCCCCTCTCCCTTGGTGTCGTCTAACTCCCCCGTACCTTCCCTGTTTGTAACCACAAACCCCCGGGCATTCCTTTTTTGCCGCCTAACTCTCCTACACCTTACCTACTAACAATTGTGATCCCTGTGTCCCACGTCAAACCGCAGCCTTCACAGCTGCAACCAGCTTTTGGCATTTTCCCCTCCAACCACAGACTTCCAACCACTGCCTGTTCTGACACTATTCCAATTCAACCCGCCCACATCTTCCCATGCCCCTTCAACTGTTCCCCCTTACCTGCCAGCCACCTCTACCCGCACTGAACTGCCCCCTCCCTACCTGAACTGGCCTGTCCCCTCCCACCTACACCAACTTGCTCATCTCCTACAGCAGTTCCACTTACCCCAAGCCGCCTCGTCGTTGTTCCACCTGTTGTCCTGCTTCTCTCTAGCAGGATATTTGTGTTGTCTTGTGCTTTCTTTCTGTTTTATAATTGTGGTTGTAATCTCAATGCTTTTGCAAGATAAAAATCTGATTCCTTATTGGTTTCTTGGTCAACTTCGGTATCATAAGCCTTGAAATTTGAGCATAAGGATCATATTTGACACATAAATTAATTGATCGCATAATTAATTGTTTCCTTTAATATTGAAGTTAGCCAGTACAAGCAAGAATACAATTCTTATATTCAAATTCATTAAATCACTACAATTTACAGTTTGATTTTGAAAAAACGAAATAATCAATTTGAGCTTCTCAACCATTTTTTTTACTCCTTCAAATAGAAGTCCCAGCCTCCAAAAGCAAGCACAGAGAACTAACTCCTACCCATCCCATTGCAGCCCATGAATCGCTTTACTTCCTAACACATCCATCCTTGTCTGACCATTGCACAAAAGCTTTGCAAGCCTTTCCTTAGCTTGTCCATGACAATTTTTTGAGCAATTTTTATCAATAACAGCTAAAATTGCAACCAATGTAAACCAAAACTGTAACATCATGAGAAATATATTGAAGTAACTTTTTTCATGAACAAGGAAGAAGTCAAGGCTCTAAATATTTCAACAAAATTATCATGGACATAATTTAGCAGAAAAAAAAGGAATATGAGAGACAAAAGAAGCATTTAACTTCTAACTTAGAAAAATGTACCATTTGAAGGAAAACTTCTTTGCCGGTAATTCAACAGGATACAGAAAGGAATATGCATTTATGTCATCAACAAGTAAAGCCATTCTAACATCTTCATCCAACTTAGTGCCAGCATGCAAACCTACGTAAGCAGAGTAAAAGCAATAGGAGTATCAATAGAAGTTAAACAATTTGAGCTGCAAAACAGATACACATATGAGCATCTATCAATAACAAAATTGGAATTGTTGTGCTATCAAATTTGTCAATAGAATTCATAACTAAAATAAAATTTTGAAGTGAGGCTACAGAACAATAAGTTATATTTTCCCATATCTGGTGACAATCACAAGAAAATTGACATGTGCGTGCCATCTGTGATTTAGATCGAGTTACATTTTTTATAGAACAAGTCATATTTGTTTGACAATAACAAGAATGGTCATTCAGTGATATTTGAGATTAACACTGGAGAGCTTAGCTAAAATAGATAGCCCAATTCATTTTGTGGATGACAGCGAGTTCACTATAAGAAGGTTAGCATAATTCAAGTTATGTCAATAATACCCAACTCAAAAGAAGATTGTTATGCTTAGGTGATGATTGATCGCTACTAACGCCATGTCAATTAGTAGCTCCTAGCAGGCTTCTAATAGTTAAGGGGGGATGTATGATTTTTATCCCAAACCATAAAAGGAGGAAAGATATTAGTCTATAAAATAAAGATTTAGTTACTTGGGTCATAAATTGCAAGATACTTTTGGTGTAAACGGTATATTTCCCTCAAAATCCACAGTTAAATGTCCCCATAATAAAGCACACTCTTGATATGTGACTACCTATGAAGTTGCACGAAAAAGTATAAACTTGTGAGGTTCAACCTAGAAAGGGACAAGTTGGGCCAAAACAAATAATACTTTGCATGGTATATCATCTTGGGCTGTTATCATCAGTATCAAATGCTGCTGAACTCATGTAATAAAATGTGATTTGCAAACAAACCAAGCAAAAATTAGTGGGCCAATAATATACACAAGTCTGGAAAGGGTGGTTTGCCTGGACCACGAGTGATTGTAGCAGCTAAGATCCAAACAAGGAGCGGCTCCTAGAGAACTCACTGGAATGGTAGACTTTAAGGAGATAATGGGGCAAGAATGACCCTAATCCCATATTAAAAGTGGAAGAAAGGGTATTGGATTGTATAAGCAGCAGATAATATGCAAGACTTTTACTGGTGATAATGGGTGAATTTTCCTTAAAAGCTCCATGGTTAATCATGCTAGTAATAAAGCCTTCCTAGGATGGGTAACGTTTAAAAATTTATACAAAAAGGATAAGCACGTGAGATTCAACCTGGTGCAAGACTGCCTTGACCAAAGCAAATATTATCTTGCAAATCGTTATTCAGGTTATTACAATTGGTATCAAACTTTGAACTCTAATATGATGTGCGATTCAGAGAAAAACTAAGTTCGTTATTCAGGTTATTACAATTGGTATCAAAGTTTGAACTCCTCTAATATGATGTGCGATTCAGAGAAAAACTAAGTGAAAGATAGTGAGCATGCATGCCCAAATTCTACGAGGATGGTTGCCTCTGCGGGGAATGAATAAAGAGCTAAGTTGCTGCATCCGACGGGCTTGCTGAGATGACATGCTTTTAGGAGATAAGAGGGATAGGAATAAAGTAATTAAAATGGTACTAAGATATATAAGAAAAGATTTAAGACATAATAAACAGGCATCTTTTGGTGTAATGGGATTTTCCCTGGAGAAATCCGCAGTTAATAGACCACTTCTAGGATGAATGATCTCCTATTAAGTTACAAGAAAAAGGTAATGCCAAAAGGAATAGCTTGACATGGGATGCTAGCTTGGCATGGGATGGGTTGGGTGAAGCAAACAATGCCTTATACATTATATTTTAGTTTGAAACAGCCCTCTCAAGTATGAGGTGTGGTGTTAGGACGGGTCACCTCTTAGAAAGTAACAAGGAAAAGGATGACATCGTGAGATTCAACCTAATATGGGATGGGATGGGCAAAGTGAATAATGCTGTGTAGAGTATAATTTGGGTTGTTACAATGATAGTAAAGCCTAATCTCCTTGAGCATGTGATCCACCTCAAAATAAATTATTTTTAGTGCATGTTTTATAAAGCCTTTTATATACATTTTTTATGATATTGCACTTTAAAGGAATGTATTTTGCATGTTTTTTATTTCAGTACATGGAATAAACAATTAGAGAAAATGAGAAAAAAATAGAGCAAAAATGATAATTTTTTTGTGGCGCTATAGGGCCAACCTTGGCACCATAGCACCACAGACGGGGTAGAAGGGCGCTATAGCGCCCCAGACTAGCATTATAGCGCCAGTAAACATATTTCTAAAATATACATCGAATTTGGCCGAATTTTGGAGGGGTGTTTGAAGCAACCTTTTGTTATTTTTTGTTTTATATTCAATGAGAAGAATTTGGCCGAATTTGGAGACCTTTTGGAGCCTCAAAACTTCAATTGGTTATTTTTTGTTTAATATTCAATGAGAAGAATTTGGCCGAATTTGGAGATCTTTTGGAGCCTCAAAACTTCAATTGGGAGGCAATATTGAGTTAGGTTTTTCATGTTTTGTGTTCAAGTGTGAGTGTGAGTGTGTTTTAGTGTGAAGTAGTTTGGAGATTGCTTAGAGAAAACTTCAGAGGTTTGCTTGGAGAGAAAACATAAGGTACTTTGTATTTGTGTTTGAGTTTTTGTTGTAAGACTTCGATTTCAATGCAAATATTTTGTTTTTATTTAATCTCCTTGAATTCTGAGTAGTTCTCTTTCTTTCTTCTTGCATATGGGACTTAATCTTGTGGGAACAGAATGATTTAAAGATTTTTTTTTTACTTTTAAAAATTGTGATAGTATTTTCACTGAATCTTCATTTACTTTGCAAACTGGTCACTTGTGAGGTTAAAATCCGTTGAGAAACATAATAACCAAGGGAGGGCTATGATTTCACCCAAATAGTGGATACCACACTTCATTTTGGGCAGAGTCGTTGCGATCAACAGTCATAGCGATCACCTAAGGGGGAGTGCAAATAAATAGAGATATAAGTTTTGATGGGCGTAGAAGTTGTTAGAAAAAAAGTGGCAAGCTAGATTCTTATCAATTTGGTTTAAGGTTTAGTACCCTGACGCTGGGATTTGGTCATTATGATGGCATAGGCTAGGAGAATCTAGAGGGGAGAGACTAGTGAGAGCCTAGATAGCACTGATGTGGAGTCGAGATGTTAAGCAATCGGTCTTAAGTTAGCTAATATTCTTTACACGCAACGGTAGGGGGTAAAGAATAAGGTATGCTTATATTTGTCAGAATACCTCAATTTTATCTTAAATCATTTGAATCCTACATAGATTAAAATCTCTTTGCAAGAGGAAATGTTCTTTTCCATAATATCCAAACTTGTTATATTTTGTTAAGTTGTTTTATTTAGTTATTACTTTCTTTTAAAGCTCTTTTAGTGGTGATTTTTGGTAAGCATATCATTTTATTTTATTTATCTTTTTAAATTATAATTTAATTAGAATTATTATAAGTTAATTTTAAAAGTTATCGTATTCCTGCT